CAGGAGGTTCCTCTCCTGCCCTTAACCGTATCAAAACTACCTCCGGCCGCTCTACAGCCCTTTGCCCATCTCCAGCGGGGCGCCGGTATCTCACCCAGGCTTCCGCCGGTCCGTGGAGACGTCTCCGTCGGGTCGTCTCCTCTGCCGGGCAACTCGGTACGTCGAGACCATCTCCCCACGGCAGATTCGAGCACCTCGACCTCAACTAAACAATAACGAAATCTTACGAGAGCCTTGACATAACTGTACGAATCAACCCGAGAGCGTAGCTTCTGATCAGGGTGGCGACCCGAAGGGAATCCGAAATCGAGAACGTTATCTGTATCGGTAACCGGAGCCGCGGGACCGTGATTCGAAAAATCAAGTCACAATATATATACACACATATAATTATTATATACAATAAAATATACAATAAAAAAATTGCCACGATTGAAACGATCGATCTAAAATAATAATAACATCACAAAACACCCACAAGATCAAAGTATCCAGGAACCTAATATAACATTCTTGTCTAATTAAGCGACTTTATCATACATAAATTCCAATTGCACAAAACGTCATGATGACCGAAATGCAAGCACTGGATATTCATCCTCGTAACAGCATTTACACTCTCCCCCTAGGACCATGGAGTATAAACTGCTTACGCATTATCGATACCAATTTCTCACGCTACACGACGCGCTACCATGATTCAGCATATCGAGCCAGAACGTTGGGAAAAGTAGAAGCTTCTATAGCCACGCCCACTTCCTCTCACAGCTTCAATACATCGCGTAGACATTATAAGATTGTACAGGTGTCGAAAGTCTCATAGACAGCCACTATCCCGCGCAAGTATACCGCTCCGGAGGCATGCACAGTCAAAGGATTTTGGGCGAATTAAGGATCCTTGAGCCTTCTGCACTACCGCACCCGCCGCTCAGCCGATTATCACAGATTTGGCTTGGACTTCCCCGCTCCTCTCTTCAAAGTCCAAAATACCAAAGACTCTTAATCTACGACGGAATTAGTAGGACTTTAATACTCGAGTGAATCGCTTCCGTGAACCCTTCCCATTGGCTGCTCTATAGCCGACAACCCTTATCGTTCGCCCTCGTTAAAACCGCCCTTCGTTAGGTTACTAACCCACTGGCTGTTATACGTGCACCTGGAGATCGCTTGTTTAGCCACGGCGTGCACGTGCCACTCGCATGGAATTTCATGGCAAGACGTTCGCTTGAAATTCCAGGACACGAGATTTGCGCGCGTATCGTCCGAGCAAGGTAATTCTCTCGATCGAGCGTATTCGGAGGCTTGATTTTTGGAATGGAACAAATTTGGAAATTTTTTTACCAAACATCTACTCCACGTATTTTCGATTATTCGACGATACCAGCTGACCCGCGAGCCAAATATACAATAGAGTATACGTTTACTTGCCGGAGATGAAATATAACGTGTGACGATATATCTGGATACACTTCGCTATATCGATATACTGTATACAATATTGTACTTCGATACAATAGATAACGAGCATTGACATAGCCATTGGATAGAACAGTTTGTATGCCGTTCCATTTCCAAGCACGTAGCGCTATTCATTCCAGGTTGGCGTTCATCCCTTAAGAATGCATAGCGTAAGGGTGGTTTCGGTGCTGAGTGCAGCGCCTGCATTTCCTTATCGGAAAGTGCATATTCACATAAACGTATCTGCATCTAACCTTGCACACTGCGTACGCCGCTGCTTGTGTACTGAGGGGTGTTTATTTTTGAAAAAAAAAAAAAAAAAAAAAAAGAAAAAAAGTTTCACAGGGCTACCTGGTGCAATGACCCACCCTCGGGGCAGGGATGCAATATGCACTTAGTCTCGGCTACTTTTGAATGAGACGGTCCATTCAGTCAATGTCAACGTTGCACGCCTCGCTTATCATTCCTGGTCTTTAACCACCCTTGCGCCTACGGGGGGTTCAAACAGCATCTACGAGCTTTCGGATCAATTTGTAATGGAACGGGCAGAAGTCTGGAATAATTCTGCTATACCAACCCCTTAGCCGAGTCTCAACAATTTCTCGCAAAATATTTGCCATCGTAAATTCGCCTTTTGCGTAACTCTCATAAAATTGAACAGTCTTAATGATAATGACCCGAACGACGGCCGATCAGAAATTCGTTCTTGGATCGTAATTCGACAAGGGTTGGTCGCGCATAAAAATACGTAAATATCTGAGGAGGGTTAACGATTTCCAACAATTGAAAAAAAGGGATTGAAAAAGATTAGTTTGCGACTCGTCGCACTTGGGCTAAAATAATCTCACTGGTTTCGGGGCTACAGGTTGCCTTTTAGCAAAACAACCCTTAGACAAATAGCTTGCAGTGGCGCCTATGAGCTATATTGACTTTATTATTATGCAAAAAATTTATTCACCCCTTAACGAACCTAGACTATAATTAATAATGACAAAAAAGTTATTAAAAAAAAGTACTTCGTTTTATATTGGTCTTTTATACTCTGTGATACTTTTGAAAATCGTAAATATATGCATTTTTTAAATGAAATGTTCTATTAATCGTTCCTAGTGGGGGTTAAAATCGAGTTAAAGAAGGAAATCAAATTTTCATCTTTTTATGATAAATTTAAATGAATTTTTTGAAAACTATAAAGCAATGATAAATTCATCATTTGACCAAGTAACCAGAAAAAATTCCATAGTCGTTAAATCTTCGTACCAAAAACCTTAAGTCGAGTACACACACAGGGTGGAATGTATAAAGGCAAGTTTTTGCGCGAAAAGCGACTAAGCTGCCGTCGCGACGTCGACGTCGTCGCTAACGAGTATAAGCTGCTAACTACGAGGCCTTTGGCTACGTCTCGAAGCCATTGAAACAAAAAGTCCTTTCAGGGTTGTTTACATTAAACAGAAATCGCCGTCTGCAGAAACCTACATGCATATATCTAAGACGACGCCGCAGGACCGACGGCACGCGTCGCATCGAAGCGTCGCTCGAATGCAAACTCGAATTTAGCCCATTTAACTACTTAATTCGTCAGCCGATCAGTCAGTCCCAATAGGGAATCGTTAAAAGCATTAGACCGAAGATATACAGTTAAGTGCGCATTTGTATGCAACTTCACGATGCAGTTTGCTTGGCTTACGTGTGAAGCGAATGCATTTCCCACTAAGAGGAAACTATTAAAAATGCATTTACGTACCATCCATGATAGGCGTTGCACCAATATAGAGAGCGCCATTGCTACTGCATATCCTGAAAAGAAAAGTTGCAGTAAATTTTCATTCCCTGCAATAAAACAATTGTTTTTCCAAAAAACAAATGCAATTTGGCAGCTGCAATAAAAACTCAGTGCATCTAGCATGCAACCACCTTTGCATGTAGTTTGTAATAGTAGGAAAGCATGTGGTGAATATTTATAAATACAGAAGTGTTTGGGAACAGGCAAGGGTGGATAGGTACATGCATATGTGCACATGCATTTGTAGCTACCAATGCGAGTAAGCAGTGAGGTTGCGCGTACTACTAGAGACAGGTCGTGGCGCATGCGCACTGTTATCTACCCTTCCACTTGCAGAAACATGTGAACGTATCGCGGAGCAGCGACCTATTGAATAGAAATTCAAAGAAGTAGCTGGAAATTCTGTGCTGGATTTCACACACCCGCTTGGTTACGTTGGCTTGCTGATAAATGATCAATTAACGATTAATTGATAATTAAGCGTTGATTGGGTCTGCGGGTGTTGGTGTTACTCAAAATTGAGGTTCTTGTACATACACGATTTGGGTTATCATGAATTCCTAGTCGAATTGCAGGAGCGCATTTTAAATTAGTGCATCTGCAACTACGTGCGTATTACGTAAATAATGATAAAATAATCGATAGCGATTTCCGTTCGTTCGACTTACGCGTTAAATAATTATTCTGTTTGACAATTAACTGGATGACACTCGGAATGTTCTCTTCTGTTATTTCAACTGAAAACAATACTCATTGTTGAGGCTTTATTGTTTCCAACTTTCTATAAGGAAACGACAACACACGACTTATGCCGAAGAAGCACGAACAATTTTCATGCCTGCAACAGGTTATATTTAATGAATATACAATACAATGAATAGTTATAGAAAATGCGTTTGATATATTATCAAGATTTAATCGAGCTTTCCAATAAAGTCAACAAAATATATTTTTCTTGTTTATCCTCTTAACGACACTCGATCTGGCGAGATGAAGCTCGTCATATCGTAGTAGAGGACAATAAAGAGGCTTATTGTCAATAGCGACAAACAATAGACACATTTTGATTGAGCAATAAAGCGTCACCATTGAAATAACAATAGATATTAATGTTATTAGAATCCTACAGTGAAGACAAATACCGACCACGATAATTGCAACTCATCATTTTTATTAACTTCTAGAATTCTTTAACTTACCGTTACCAAGCATCTCCGTGTATGGATTGTTGAACCATTTTAATAAACAGCAATATATTTCATCCTTGTGCACAAATATTTCAACCGCACAACTCCGCAACACGTAGTGATCACCTTTAATAATGAGTTTTCGCGTGATGACCGTGATAATCGATAGAATCAATGAAAAATCGATGAGAGCCATGAATGTTAGTTGAAAATGGAGGACGCGCTGCGTTTCTACAGCAAAATCGACCGATCTGTAATATTTACTATCACTCGCGAACATCATGGACCATGAAACACTTCACGCGTTGTTAATCGCGTAATAAGAGACTGACTGTATGTATTTTTAATACGTAGCAAAATTACGGATATCAAAAGACACAGAGAATACAATGTATAATATGTACGCTACAGACGCTAAAGAAGCAGCTGATCACCTTTCTTCACTTTACGCAGCGCCTCTAGTGAGTAATTTCGGAAGTTACAGGTAGCGTCTCGCTTACGATCACTTACGATGTCCTGTTTCTAGACGCGCCATTGTGTTTAGCTTCAAGACAATACGTGGATCTGTTTTCACGATGTATTCGGCACGAAAAAGTAATTTAACAATAAGTGATTGCCAAAGTCATAAGAATCCGTGTTTTAGTGAAAGATGGAAATGGCATTGTACCATTAAGTGATCTTGTGAATTCTCGACGCATGACACGATGCTCTATCACCTTGTGCAACATTTTCCTCCTATTCTTTGTCATTGCGGACTTTACTCCAGAAACGGTGAGTTTACATAGTTCTGTTTATACGAATATTTGACGAAAAATAGTTTTCGCGTTGTAAAAAATCAGTCCCTCAAATTTACGATCCATGAGTAATATTTATCCAGGAACGTAAAGAGGATTCAATATGGCGACAACACGTTCGTTAACCCAAGAATAAACGCGTGATTTTGTAAACCATTGAATTGTCTCAGAAACACCACTGGCCTACTTACTCCCGGGTTAATTATGATCAAATCTCCGACAGTTTGACCGACTACGCTGAAAGACAACAAAAACAAATGAAGTCACATGCTCATTTTATTGTTCATCCTATTAATGCCAAGATCCCAGTATCTTTTTTCCATTTTCATTAATTTTTTCGTGCTTTCTTTCGCGTTCCAAACCCTCTTTAATGCTAATGTATCTTTTTTTACCTATACTCCACCTCTTAAACCATTTTGTAAATGGCGCATCGGATAAAACCTTTTTCGCCAAGTAAACGATATTACTCAAGGTAAAATACCACTTTTTTCCCCCGTTATTCAACCAGTACGAAATACACTGCGCTAAAGTTTTCGCCAATCAACTATTACCGACTTCGCCATTGCTGTCTGTTTTAAAGCAACCAAATAATTATCGTCCTTGACTAGAAGATCCAACATATATACTTATAAATTATGGATTTTCCCTCGAATAAACGAGTAGATCGATTATCATGTCACGCGTTCGGCGTAGCATTTTATTTCGTGTGTCCCGTTTCACAACATTATGTAAAACCTAAATTGCCGAATAAACCCAATAGGCTCGTGTAACGGCGATTATCGCGACTGAATCTACCACCAGTCATTTAATAGCAGTAATGTTTAACACTAAACCTACCGACAATTTTTTATAAACGTATTTTTGGCTTTAAAACGGTCAAATGACGGTTAATTTCTATAAAAAGAACCAAAAAAATATTTAAAATCGTCCTGACTTCATTATTGTGATACTAATATCTACCATGTGTGCGCTATAACGAGGTCGTACGTGTTAAGTATATAGCTCGTGTATATCGGTAGTACTAATAAAAAATGATGAAAGAAAACTTTAATTAAATAAACGAAAGACACGTCAACTCATACGAAATAAACAAAGTGAATATTAAGTAGCTAAAAAGGAAACGAAGAGGGCTAAGGCACTTCTTACACTCCCCAGTCAGGCGACGTTCGTACATTCACATACGTATATACATATGCGCGCTCATGCACGTTACATGGTAGATGCTTCACGTGTAGAATACTTGCTGGATAAACATGAAACAATAATGGCGGCCAGTATAAGCTCCATACTAAATGGAATAGTTTAATAAGAGACATTCTCGAAATAATTTAATCGCCAAGGCCTTACATTTTCCCTCATTCACGTTTTATCCATCTTTGGATTATGCAACAATTTTTTTTTCAGCTTAACCTTACACTGCCTTATCGTATGATAAAAATAACTTACTATACCTGTAAACTGTAGTTCAATTATAGTTCTGTATGTTACACTAATGTGGGACTATGTACGAGTAATAAAGTTTGTAATAAAAAAAAACTTGCTCCTTGTTTCTTACAGAATGATTAACTCGTGTTACCACGTGTGTTATCGCATATGTACTATACGCGTATATAAATACACGTTAGAGTATAGATATAGGGAAGGGTCTCTATCATTTTAAAAATAAATCAGCGTTCACACATGCATACCAAGGGAGGGTGAACGGCATGAAAAAGGAGAACTCGCATTCCGTATAACACAGATTTACATACTAACTGCTATTAATAGTTCTTTTCAAATATTTACTATGATCGAATACAACAATTTTACGTGGATTTAAGTTGGTAATATTGAAATGTAATTTTTTGGACGAGATATTTATTGGAGGACTTATTTTTAAAAAAAGTTTCTACTTTATCTACAGTAGATAACGCTAGGTAGATCTTGTCACGCAATTGGGTGTTGCCTAACGGGGCATTTCCTGTATATTTTTAATTCGTTATGCCTGAATAAAAAATAATATTTTCTCTTTCCCGCAGTCCTACGAATTCGAGCATACACGTGCCTAATTGCCTACTGTACTCGTTATATACGAATCGGCATTACGTAAGAATGTCCAATTCCATTGCCAAAGAGCCGTCCAGTTTCGTATTATGAATTATTGCCCGTGTCGATATTGACAATTCGTTCTACCCTGACTGTGACGTAGTACTTTATCGATTGACATAACTTACTTCGCTACGTAACACATTACGTGCAATCGTACAGTCAAACACACGTTCCAGTAAACAATGAAGATTTCGAGGAAAAATATTCCGTGACTCCTTCATCGAGCTGCTATTTTTTTTCTTTTAATATAAAAAATGCTTCGACTTTTTAATTTTTGTCATTCATCACTTAATACGATTTCGTACACAGTAGAAAGTGACGTTTGACATTCGACCTGTTCACGAAGCAGCCCGAAGGTTTCCGAATCCCAGCTTCGGCTGTTTCCTCCGAATCACTGACAGGTATACGTCATCGGCCGCCAGTTCCAACGGAATGTACAGGGATGCCGAATTTCGTAGATTTGGGATTGACAGGTCGAAGAGGCAAGTCGAACTCTCAATAAAACACAGAGAGCCCAGCGCTCTAAGCTGTTTTAATCACTAGTTGGATTGACGGCGAAGGGGTGCGGAGGGTCGTCGAGTGTGGAGGGGGGATTAAGGGCGACGCATCAATAATACACAACACGAACGATCGATAGAATTACAACCCTTGCCGAGGTCGTTTCAGGCATTTTGTTTTAATCAATGTTCGATTTCACCCTTGGGCTACATCGTGTGTGACGAATACGACGTTTCGTTACATACTGTTATCACGCTGTTGGATAAGTATTCTTATCGATGGCCATTAGCAAGGGTAGCACCGTGTACAGTATCAGCCAATAATTAATACCCGTCCGTGGTACGAAATGGTATGAAAATAAAGCGTCATGGCTCAGTGCACTTTTTCTTATCAGACGCTCCCGTCTTATCAGTATAAATACGTGACGTCGATATTGCGGCGTGTCCACGACTCTCATTTCGAATATGGCGCCGCAACGATTTTTCTCCCTTTGTTACCCACGAATTTGACCGATCGTCATTAAGCCTAAAGGGTTGGAAGAATTTTTTTTTTACGGTTTCACTTCGCTTCCTTTTTTTCCCTTACGCGTCGAAACGCAAGATTATCGGTCAAGGTTTCGTATAGCCATTATAGTCTATACTCCTTAACAGTACTCTGCTTGGTATACAGTTTGCTATGTACTGGCTTCACGCCGTAGCTGTACAGTCCTTATCTTTGTGATCAGCGTGCTATATGGGGTGACTCGTATGTACGGACGTGACGTTGATCGAATATCTTTACAGCTATACGCATATGGCGTGTGTGTTAGATCAATCGTCCTTGGGATTCGCGTGAAACGCTAATGACAGCTTATTTTAAGCGATTGTTCATTAAAACCATATTGACACGGGTTCAGTCTAATTAGTAAGCGTCCAGTGACCTGGATCCTTTTCGTGTATGCGAGTGCACGTCACTCATATGCGAAGTGGGTATTTTGGTGCGAGGGTTGACTGTGGCTGTGGGCAAGGGTTGGTATTGTCAGGTAAGGTGCGGATGGAATAGGGGTGAAAGGTGTTAGCGATTTTGGAAATAAAATTTTTCTCATTTACGTATTTACGTGCACATTTTAGCGGACGACGTGAAAAAGAAAATTTTTGAAAATCCATACTCGAGGGGGGCTGACTTCACGCGGGTCAATAAGATTCTTTCATATATCAAAAGTTTTGATGAAATTCGGATTACTGTCATTGTCACCATCGTACACGTGCATGTACACATGTGATAGCCGGTCGTTTTCCCAGCTAATAAATATTCTGTAGCTGCCACCGCGTAGCGGCAAACGTCGCTATCGGATCGTCGTGAACGCGTAGTAAAAGCTTGGAAATTAATAGAGCGATAAAAAATAAATGAAGGAACCGAGACCGATGTGACTATACGGAAAATCCCGGAAGTCGGGCTGATTATCTCGTTTCCGGTATTATACTTGCAGCTATCGGTTATCGGGGCGTTGAGCGTTGTGTATAATTATAAAATTGTATATATGCATATATACAGCTATACCTAGGTGTATATTTTACTGTGGCTGGTACGAACTTTATATTTATGTCGTGAAAAAAGGTGGGAAAGTCCATTGCGTTTGCGAATTGTGGTTATTTATTCTTTTATTTTTTTTTTTTTTCGCCGCTTTCGTGTCCCGACGCCATGTCGTTCGCGGAATCGCGAATAATGCGGGTGAACGATATTGGAATTTCGCAACTACGTAAACACGGAATCGCGGGTAGCTCGTTTTGTTAATTTGCATTTTGATTTTTCGGGGCGTCGGTACGACGGTCGATAGTTGCTACTGTAATTATATGTAAATCAATTACGGTGATAAGAACGATGTTTACGGATCTGATGTAGTCTTATCTCTGACCTATGACCTGTCGCAATATTTGCCACAGGAAGAGAAACAATTTTGAATCTGCACATGGTACCTGGCTCTATGAAAAATATTATTCAACAGTTGTTGTCATCGATCATTCTTGCGATCAGTCATATTCGTGATTACGTCACGTCATACGATATATTGACGTATAGATACATATATGGTCCATTGGAAAAGCATACGTAAACATTGTCATTTTATTATGTTATACGTAGAGAGTGTGGATAATAAAAATAATTGCATAATAAAATGAAATGTTGGTTTTTTCATTTTTCGCTCAAGATTTCAGTATTACGTTCGGTTCGCTATGTCAGAATTCAAATGTCCCGCTAGTCATAATTGGATAACGGTTATTGTGAATGCACCTTTATTTTCTTATCCTTATCCAGGAGGCACACAGATGCCTCTGCGTGAACAAGGTGGTCTTGGGCAGGGAGCAGAAACGCATCTTCGAGGTGGACGACATCGTTTCATTCACAATTGGGCTACAGTCTCGTGGAAGAAGATGGCTCCCAGCATCACCAGAAGGATGCTCCACTTCATCTTGACTTTGACAGTTGTCTCGATCTTAGAAATGTCTGATACAACGGTTCAGTCGTGATTCTGATTAGAGCTGCGGATTCGAGGGCATTGATACTGCGAGAGGATGACCCATAAATTTTCTGATTTGCTTATTTTTATTTGCTTCCAGGTGAATCGGTCCTCGTTAGTCGGATTATATTGTTAAGTGAGAAAATACACGTGTGTACATATTGCACGGCAGAATGCAATCCAGTTGCTGTAAACAGTATTGCGTTTATCGTCGGACCTGCAAGTTAATATTTATAATTTTGAATTTATATTTTTTTGCGCAATTTACTTTAACAGGATTGTCGAATGTGCGTATATATGTATTGGGAATTATGGAAAATTTTGCAACTTAGATTGTGCTAATTTAATTATGGATACTTGTGTATTTAGAAAAATTAGGCTCTTTGTTGGCGTCGACGCGATTGGGCGCAAATCGTTTTTTTTTTTAACTTGCTCCGATTTGGAATTTAAGGGGCAGTTCGGGGGTTTCTTCAGAAATGGCTGAGCCAAAGCTGGCCGACGCTATTTTCTTAAGAAAATCCGAGTATCGTATATTTTTTTGCAATTTTTTCTGCGATTTTGTGTCAGCCACTTGAAATTTTCAATTCAAATTCGAATTCGGCGACCCAAAGAATAAGCAATTGAAATAAAAGTGTCTTGGCAGTTTGAGGAATTTCAGTCGAATTTTTCATGTCAACCAAGGACTCAATATACGCGAGTGACAGCAGTGACTCAGAAATTTGCGAACACGTGACTGGTCCAGTTTAATGAATTTTTAGCAAAAAACAAAAAAAGACTTTTCGTTACTCTTATACAGGAGCGGACCCTTGTTTTTGAATTTATTTTCTCATATTACCTTACATATGGGATATTCGTATTCATGAAATGAGGAACAAATACGTAATAATTGTCACACGTTTATTAATTTATTCAGAGTTTTAATAATAATAATAATCATTACAAAATGATAAAAAGAAGAAGTTATTGCATTATTATTTCTCATTAAAGAATGTTTTCAAGATTTTCATTTCCGTGTACTTGCAGGTCGTCATTCGATGTTGTCCATTGTGAATGCACCTTTATTTCTTCTCCCTATCTATACACAGTGGTATCTGACTGGACAACGTGGTGTTGGGCAGTTGACACGAACGCATCTTCGAGGATGACGGCATGGTGGTCTGCATCGGCCTTGGGCCATAGTCTCGTGGAAGAGGATGGCTGCCAGCATCACCAGAAGGATGCTCCACTTCATCTTGACTTTAGCAACTGTCTCGTTCTTAGAAGTATCTGATACAACGGTTCAGTCGTGATTCTGATTAGAGCTGCAGGTTCGAGGCTATTTATACTCTGAGAGGATGACCGATAAATATTCTAATTTGTTTACCTTATTTTGATTCCACGTGAATTGCTCCTCGTTAGTCGTATTACATTGTTAAGTGAGAAAACACACGTGTGCACATATTGCACGGCAGAATGCAATCCAGTCGCTGTAAACAGTATTGCGTTTATCGTCGGACCTGCAAGTTAATATTTATAGTTTTGCAATTATATTTTTTTGTGCAATTACTTTAACAGGATAGTCGGCCGTGCGAGTTATGGAAAATTTTGCAGCTTAGCTTGTGTTAATTTAATTGTGGATACTTGCGGATTCAGAAAAATTAGGCTCTTCCTTGGCATCGGCGCGATTGAGCGCAAATCGTTTTTTTATCTAACTTTCTCCTTTTCGGAACTCAAGCAGCAATTCGGAGGTTTTTCCAAAAATAGCTGAGCCAAAGTTGACCGACAGTATTTCTTTAAGAAAATCCAAGTATCGTACATTTTTTTGCAAATTTTTTTGCGATTTTCTCTCAGCAATTTCGAATTTTCAATTCGAATTCGAATGAGTGACAGCATTGACTCAGAAGTTTGCGAACACGTGACTAGTCCAGTTTAATGAATTTTTGGAAAAAAAAATCAAAATACTTTTCGTTATTCTTATACAGCGGACCCTTGTTTTTGAATTTATTTTCTTATATTACCTTGAATGTGGGGATATTGGTATTTATGAAATTAGGAAGAAATACGTAATAATTGTCACACGTTGATTAATTTATTCAGAATTTCAGTGATAATAGTCATTAAAAAATGATTTAAAAAAGTTATTCGATTGTTATTTCTCATTAAAGAGTTTTTTTCAAAATTTTCATTTCATGCCACTCGCAAGTCGTCATCCGATTTCGTCCGTTGCGATTGCACCTTTATTCCTTCTCCTCATCCAGGAGCAGCCGAACACGCGTAACTGCGTTGACAGGGTGGTATCGGGCAGGGCGGGCGAATCCGAACGCATCTTCGAGGCCGAATACACGGCGGGTTGCATTGGGCGACGCTCTCGTGGAAGACGCAGCCTCCCAGCAAGATCAGAAGAATCATCCACTTCATCCTGACTTTAGGATTTCCTCGAGACTGCTGAAGCGTTCGATGGGAAGTTTCAAAATTGATTGTGATTCGAGCTGCAGATTAACAAACTTTTATACGGAGATGACGAGTAATAAATGTCCTAATTAGTTTACGTTAATCTAATTCCAGCTGAACTGCCGCTCCTCAGTCGCATCTTATTATTAACTGACATAAACACGTGGGTATATCCCGTACGACACATAGAAGTCTATTTTGCATAAGCAATACTGCATTTACCATTCGATGTGCAAGCTGATATATGTTATTTTTTCATATCAATTTATTACCTTTTTATGCGATCACTTTCAGATTCGTTGAAGGTGAATATTTTGGAAAATTATGGAAAATTAGAACTCGCGAGAATAATGAATATTTACGAGTGACAGCGAATCGAATTCGTCAACAGGTGGCAGTGACGGGCAATGACGTCACAACGAAAAAAGGGTCCGATTGCTCCTGTATAAAAGCAGTTGCCAGCATCGAACAGGTCAATGGAGTAAAGTAGAAAATAAGTACACACGTCATTTGAATTTATTTCAATATATTTTTCGATGCATATTATGGATATTAACGAAGACAAAAAACACATAAAAAATTCACACATTGATTATGTTATACGAGGATTCAGTAGTAAGCATCGTTGCAAGATCTTGTAACGTGTTGGTGGATTATTTCTTCTCATTCGAGACGCCAGCATCCCGTTTGGTCCAGTGTGTCAAAATTCAAAGTTCCCGGTTATCGCAAGGTCGTCATCGGATATCTTTTGTTGTCAATTAGCCCCTCGCCTTATCCAGGGTTACGGCGACACACGTATCTGACACATGGTGGGCGACGGCAGGGACGTATGACGACTCTAACGCACCTGGAACCTCGAGGGCAGGATGGTCTGCATTGCCCCATAGCACCGTGAACGAAAATAGCCGCCAGCATGATAAATATAATGTTCCACTTCATCTTGACTTTAGGATCTCCTCGAGACTGCTGAAGCGTTCGATGGGAAGTTTCAAAGTTGATTGTGATTCGAGCTGCGGATTAACCAACTTTTATACGGAGATGATGAATAATAAATGTCCTAATTTGTTTACCTTAGGCACAAAGGAGATGAGCCGCTGCTCGTTAGTCGCAATTTCTCGTTAAGAAAGGTAAATAATAATACGTGTATATGTTGCAAGGGATGCCGTTTTGTAAAAACATTCGTAATTTTTCTCCATTCCTGATTATTTTTCTTGGCGCAATTAATTAATCAGGTTCACCGAACGCAGGCTCGTTGCAAATTGCGGAAAATTCTGCAATTTCCTGTTCTCCCAGCTGCAGACGGAGAATCGATGCGAACGAGCGACGTCTATAGTTTTTATGACGGATAATACTTTATTGTGAAATCCGAGAGAAATTTTTTTTTATATTTTTTTATTTCTTATTTTTCGAAATTTCTACACAATCAATCTTTACCTCGGTCCTACGAAAGTCCAAATAATTGCGGAGGTGCGAAAACATTTCGTAACTTTGCATTTCGTTTCGATAGTGCGTCGCCATGGCAACGCGTATTTCCCACTACAGTGCAATTCACCTGCGGAAGTCTTCGTTGCAAATGGCAACGACCTTCCTTGATCCTTCAGTCATCCCGACGATCCCTCGGTCGCTGATTAGTTAATAGGCTAGCGAGATAGATATATCAAGCCCTTTGCTGACAGAGCCAAATTCTGCCAGCTTGAGCTCCCTGAGCCAGGTCGGCCATACGCGAGCTTAATGGTCTAATTTTCTAGGGCGTTGCCCACGCTGAGAAGTAACAGTTGCAGCCTCTGACGTTGCCCGTGGTAACCCTGCCGATGCATTTGGACCGCCAGTGATAGGAAGTGATAGGGACGGCCCTGTTTATTTTTATTTATCCGATCGATTCCTCGGGCCCGTTAACACGTGATTTATGGAAATTGTCGAAAATTTGACGAATTCCTTTAGGATGACTTTTTTATAAATCATCAACACTCTTGAAATGTCATAGGTCAATATAGAAGAGGCAAGGACCACTCTGTCCTCTTAGTATCCATAAGTTGGCAGACGCTCCTGCGTAATTGGACGAGATGCCAGAGAGCAAGTGTTACGTGCCCGTTTGCACTTTTCCTGGGAATTATATAGCGCCGTGCAAATTGGTACAAATCCAAAATTTTACGTTTCAACTTTAATAATTTGGTTAATAAGAGAAAAAGGTTTTGGTAGCACTGCAAAGGCCGTTTTATTTGGACACCAGGCAAAATTTGATAAAATCAAAAATTCATTCATTCATACCGAAAGGATCGCTGAGGTATGGGAGAAATCAAATTTTATTTCATTTTTTTTTTCTTTTTTTTTTTTGGTTGGACAAAAAATTACATTTTCACACGTCTTCAAATGGGTTAAGCAAGCAGGCAATTTTTTTTCAGTTTCTGCTACTTCCGGTCCTTCATGATCTTGCAGGTTCTTCCTTTCTGGATGGTCCCAGGTCAGACGCAGGAAAAGTACTGTAGCTTTGTCCACTTATCCGTAGACTGATCTACATCCGGTTGGACAACAAGGCGCCCTGACGCACACGACGTTCTTCAAGTAAACGCAACGCTCGTGCAGCTGACAATCCGACGTACAGATTGGCACTATAGGGCAGTCGTCTTCGGCAGCGGCCAAGGCGAAGCAGCCAACAATTACAGCCAGCAGGACTAATAGGATAGTGTACTTCATCGTGATACAATGTATTCGCTCCTTTGCTCGACTCTAAAGTTCAGTAGATATTGAGACCAGCCTGAAACCTGTCCAGGTATTTATACGGGCGACAGGTATTTGTGCTTGGATACAAATTATGCGTATGACTCAGAAATTGGCCAGCACGTGACGCAGGACCAGTGACGATGTGCCGATAAGAAAAGAATTTCTTAAATTCTTATATAATAACAGCTGCTAACTTCAGACTTTATAATTATGTATACGCGAGAATAATAATACTGGTTATTCAATTTATATTCCAGTATACTAACTTTGCTTTGGATTATTGGTATTCGTGAGATACGTAATTCGTCAGTTTTATATACCGATCACTTTATACTATTCTCAGTGGTGCTCATCGCGGTTAGCTGGTGCAACTAATTGCTCTGGATCTTTGATTCTCGTTTCAGGCGCCCGAATGTAATTATTCCTTGAAATTCGAGAGCATTCGTGCGAAGTGGATGAGAGATAAATTTTCTAGTTTATTTATGCTAATTAGGTTGGAAGCGAGGAGCTGCTCGTTAGTCGTATTTCTTGTTGTTAACCGCGTGTGCATATATTGCAAGGCAGAATGAAAACTATTTTGTGAAAGCAGCATTACGCTCAGTGTTGGATATAAAAGAAAATTTTTTCTTATTCCTCTTTATCTATTTAATTCGTCATGCTCGCTTAACGTGGCAAATTACGAAGGAGCCTGCAGATTCCGTCGTGCTAATTATTTATGAATTTATGCGAATTCAAGTAAACGGTAATTTTTTAAATTTTACTTATCAAATTAGACCTCGCTCCAAATATGCCGAGCGGACCGTGAAATTTGGAATTTTTGCAAATTTTTTGCACTTTTCAAATGCCGAAGGTCAACGTACGATAGGGGAGCAGCCCCGTTCTGTCCTCTTATTATACCTAAATTGGCTGGCGCTCCTGTGTAATCGGACGAGATGCCACAAAGCCCGTGGTATAAACCTATATGCACTTTTTCTATAAATTATATGGCGCCATGCAAATTGATACACATTCAGAATTTTGTCTTTCAAGAGCATTGCTTTGGCGAATGAAAAAAAAAAACAAAGTTTCTTATATCGCCGCAAAAAATTCCGCGTTGGATTTTAATACCACGAGTCAGTCCAAAAATCGGATTCGGATGTAGGTACCGTGTAAAATGTGAAGGAAGTAAAAAAATTCAATAGATAATTTAAAAAATTCACAGTTGCAAAATCAATATATTAATTGGATTTTGTAAAAATCCCCAGAGCCAATCGGGACTTCACATTCCAACGTTTACTTTAAATGTCACATTTGTTGTCCTGGATGACGTCGACCCGGGCACGTCATCCAATTTATTGCAAGCCTTGAGAAAACAGGAAAGCTTAAGCAGTAGGATATGCAAAAACAATAAAGGCGCATTTGCATTGACACACGTCTCACTCGAGGCTACAGATTAACTCTTAATATATGCGCATTCATAAGCGTGTGCAATTACTCATTGCAATTCGTACGTCGAATGTGCTAGGAATTAGTATCTATATACGTGCATATAATTTTTACACAAATTTCGTTTTATTCGTATTTTTAGGCAGATACACAAAATTGCAGTCGAAAATCTTATTCCATAAATAAGTTGAAAATTAAGGCTGACATTCAACGGACGTCAGGCAGCTTCTGCTTCTGTCTCTGGTACTTCTAAATATTCAAGTCTTCTTCCTCGTGGTATGATATTACGTAGCCAGTGGGTCATAGGTCAAGTACGGAGAAAAAGTACCGTATCATCCGCTTTATCCTGGGTGGTTCCGTACGCACCTGGTTGGACAACAAGGTGCTCTCACGCACACGACGTCCTTTGCGTATACGCAGTGCTGACCACGTGGACAACTTGGCTTACAAATTGGTTGGTTTGGACATCCTGGTGATGCAAAAGAACCAAAAATCCCAACGA